ACCCCCCAGCCCCCCTCGAAGCCCCCTCCCCACTCACTGGACCCTCTTGGCGAAGGGCTCCAGGGCGGCGTAGCCCAGGGCTGGTGACAACACAAGGGGAGCAGGGCCCGGGGGGCGGGGCCCAGCACCGGGGGCGGAGCCTGAGCGCGGGTGGGCGGGGCTGGGAGGCTCTGCCTTGGGGGGGGCACTGAGGAGGGACCAGGGACCTGGAGGAGGGGCCACAGAGGAGGGGCGTGGTTAGAGAAAAGAAGCCTCCAGGGGGTAGGGTCAGGGAGGGCGTGGTCAGAGGGGAGGGGCGTCACTGGGTGTGATCGGTGGGGCAGGGGCTCAGATGGGTGTGGTCAGAGGGGGCGGGGCCATGTAGGGTGGGGTCAGTGGGCATGATCAGATGGGGCAAAAGCCTCAGGTGTGAGATGGAGCGTGGTCAAAAGGGGCACCTGATGGCAGGTGTTCTCAGGTGGGGCATGGCCTTTGAGGGGTGTGGTCAGAGGGGACAGGGCCACAAAGGGCATGGCTGGAGAGGTGCGGCCAGAAGAGGTGTAGTTGTGGAAGTGGCTTAGGGGTCCCCCCCCTGGGGTATGTGGGGTGAGGGAGGGGGAGTTGGGGGGTTGGTTCGGGGTCCCCCATCACCCCCTCCCCTTTTGGGGTTCCACCCCCTTCCCGGGGCCACTGTGCCCCGAGCTGGGGGCGGTGGACTGGGGGTTTTCGGGGATGGATTTGGGGGTCTCCCAAGCTTCCCCCCTCCCTTTTTGGGGTCCCCCTCAGTTTTTGGGCTCCTCTCTCATATTTTGGTTCTCCTTCCTTGCCCCACCATCCCCCCCCAGACCCTTCCTGTTCCACTCCTCCCCAGGGTCACTTTGCCCTGACACCCCCGGGGTGCATTAGGAGGGTCCGGGGATGGACTTGGGGATCCCTATTTTTGCAGGGGTTTCCCCCACCTGGTACGAGCTCCCCCCGGTCGAGGCTGCGCCGAACGACCCCCGCGCTGGTGCCGTGATACGCCCGAGGCCACTTCTGCCACCCTCCTGCCTCCAGCCGCGGCTTTGGCCTGGGGGGGAACCCCAAAATCAGGGGCAGCTCCAGGACTCCCTTGAGCCCCCCCAGACACCTCAAACCCACCAAGCATCCTCCAAAATTAGGGAAGGGGCTCCAGGGCCCAACCAGGACACCTCCGGTAACAGAAACCCAGCCATGGAGCCCTGAAGTTGGGGGGGGGCTCCAGGACCCACCCGAGACCACCCCTGGAAATACAAAGCCACCCAGGACCCCTCAAATCCCTCTTAACCCCCCCCAAAACCTTTCTGAATGCCCCAAGTCCCCCCTAGAACCCCCTAAACCCATCCTGGACCCCCCAAGCCCCCCT